GTTTTTGGGTTTTTTGTTTAGGGTTTTTCCGGTGTGTAGTGGGGTTTTGGGGTTTTTAGGGATCCCAAGCCCTACTTCACCCTATTCAGTTCCAGAGCCCGGCTTTCCGTATATGTTCAAGCCGAAACCGCTCTAAACCCGAAACAAACACACACACACAGCCAAACAAAATCAACGCGCTATGTACCCATCCAAGGCGCGAAGGCGACCCGCTGATGAGTCTCGGTACCAACTGTACTGCACAGGTATCGGCATGCAGCGGTTAAGCATCGGGGGTTTGCACGTTTTTAGCCAAAAAGCCCGTGCAATCTGTGGTTGTTCTTCTGACTCATGTTGAGTTAGTGTTGACCTTCTTCTTGTTGTTGCTGGTGCTGTTCAGTGCTAGTGTTGTCTGTTCGGAGTTGTCATGACCGGTTGCCATTACCTTCAATTTGTGGACATGCAGTCATGAGTCATGCGTCTGATCAGGAAAGGGTGGAGGCTGCCCGACTCAGGCGAGAGATCATCATGCTGTACAGCCGGGTGCCACGAGCAACGCAGCCATGAGCCTAGCACAGGGCAGTAGCCTCGTAGGCGGGTAGTCTATGCATGCACGTGAGTGCGAGAGGGGCCCGTGCATAGAATCCAAAATCATAAGATCCCTGCGAGAAGGACAGTTGAATTTCTGAAAACCCTGATGTGTTCCTACATGCAAAACACGCATGGGTGGATGTTGCTGCGGATTGCCGAGGTGGACGTTTCCCAAGGGCTCCAGCTACCTAAACAGTAGGTTACTAGCCCTATACTATGTACCCCACCCAGTAACCTACTATTGGGGTAACTGAAGCCCTTGGTTTTCTGAGCATGTATTGCAATGTGTTGACCTTTTCTTATCGTATGGAGGATGATAGTTCTTATCTCTTTCATTCACCACACGTATACATATGCAGGCATATGTAGATGTATACATACCTACATGCAGGTAGGAAGATGCTCATCTGGGTCCTTGTTGGCTACAATTTNNTTAATATAGCCCCAACAGGAAACCAGTCATGTCGCTATACAAAAGCATGGGCTCCTTTGAGCAAAGCTGGTTGGTCATCCCTGTCTAGAAGGGTTCGCGTAAGCGAGTTTCAGAGGTGACTCCCAGAGGTATCCTGAACTTGGTTCCTCATCTCCTTCAGAAATCAGGAGAGCAGAAAAGGTTCCTAAACCCTAAACCCTA